AAATGGTATTAAAGTATACTATTAGACAAGTAATAGACAAAAAACTGCTGTTGTGGAAAGTTTTTCTTGGCAACATACGAATTTTAGCACTTAAGGGGAAATATTTGTAAAACTAGGGAGTGTGAGCAGTAACTGCATTTCTGCTTCTTCWTTCTTTATGGTGATTCATTGCTTTCTCATGACAACTTTGCAAATATTTTCTGTTTCTACATATCAAAGGATTTTATTACATCTTTAAGTGCTTAATCGACTCAAACTACACAAACCTGACTAGAACTTGCTGGTGGTTGTTCTTTTTCTTGGTTTTCCTTTAGACCCTATCACACTGGAAGATGACCAGAACATGGGCGGTCTCTGAAGCAGTGGCCTTCCTGTTACWCGTGATAAACCCTAACAGGTAAATGATGTTTTTGAGTATGGACAAAACATTTWTAGCGAGGCTGTGGTGGTTTATCATTGTGGCGGGAGAGTAGTGAGGTTCTGGGTGGAGCTGTGCGGCAGTGACTGTACTGGGGTTATCGTCTTTCAGTCTTAATCCAGCCCCTGATATCATTCATATGAGGTGGTTTCAAAAGAAAAGAGTCATCAAGACTTTTCTTATGTTTAAAGCCAACTCTTATAAAAAGTATCGATTTCATGCAGTGTTTGCAGACCACTGCATAGAGCAGTCAGAGATGAAACAAAATAAACATTAATAATTGTCTTTTTACAGTGACACCTGGCTGTGGGCTTAATGCATTAAAAACATTGTCATTAAATGAGATCATTTTGCTATAACGACACTGGGGAAAACCTGAGAGCTTTGAAAYAAATATTAAACAGAAAAAAGATAAAGAAACCTTTGAATATATCTGAAGCTCCGCTCCCAGCTGGCACTCATCTGTTTGAGGAAAGGTTGACTCTAAACTGAGTACGGAGGTGTTTGAGATTACTGCAGGTACATCTGTCACTCAGAGATGTCGCAGACAGATGGGAGGAAAGAGGGATTAGAGGGAAGTAAATTACATATCGGCGTTCGGCACGTAAACCAATCTGAGGTAGTAAATAGCTGAGAACCACTTTTCAGGCTGAATTACTTCCAATTTACTCAGAGCTGACGCTGCTGATGAAGACAGAGACAGTCCACTCAACACATTGTTAAAGTCTAAGACAAAATACTCTATTAGAACAATGATTTTGGCCATTTGACCATCTTTATAAATGTGTGCTTCTAGGTAGCCTACAACAGTCAGCTTCTGGAAATGACTGTTTTTTTTAAGGTGAGTGGTTGAAGCAAAATGCAGCGTTTGAGCRATTTCAGCATAAACAAACTCTGTCATGAACTTCTGACCAATCACACAATAAGTTCTTATGTGGAGGAGGGGGGGTAAAAAACTCGGCCCATGGGTTGACAATGCAAACAGAACGATGCAATTATCGTCATGAAACTGCAACAAYCTGATACGATTTGGGCAGTTCAGATGCAGYATGCTTGAGTCGTTGGCATACAAAAATCAGTAATAGTGGCATGACACATGTTAAYAATTTCAGAGACCATTTAAGGTGTAAACAGGGCCTAAAATGGGGTGGGGGACTTACAAGAATTTATCAATTAAGAAATTTACAAAATCTGGATTAATTTAGATTCAATTCAAATGCATCAAATTTGAGTGAATTGGCTTGAATGGAACTGGATTTGAATCTGAATCTGATGGGACTCGACTGTTGAAACACAAAAATCAACGATTTGAAAAAGTTTTAATCAGTCAATTTAATTTGTGTTTACTTTGATATTACAAAGAAATGAAAAGACGGTCTGATAATACATATTTTGGACTTTATTTGAACACAGAAAAGAGGAAACCAAGGCGACTGAAACTACAGCATGACTAAGATGAAACTAACCACATTTTATGTTTTGACTCATTACCCTGACAGACATATTTCAGATGAAAAACTAAAATCATTTACGCCTCCTGGCTGCATTGCAAYATTTAGTTTTGAACTGTGCAATCCTGGAAAAAAACTACACATTTGTCTTTGTTAAGTGAAAGAAAAGACAACTTGCTTTGCTTCTAATCTCCACAATAATCAAATGCTGGACAAAGCTAGAAAGACGGTTAAAAAGTCTCTCCCAAAGACAACCAAACAAAACTTTCTCTTAAATTTATGCAGGTTTTATGGATGATGAAATAGTCTGGGACAAACTTTATTGGAAACATCCGTCCAGCCGTTTTCTTCCACTTATCCGGGGTTGGGTCACAGGAGCAGCAGCCTAAGCAGAGAGACCCAGACTTCCCTCTCTCCAGCCAACTGGACCAGCTCATCTGGGGGAATCCCAAGTTGTTCCCAGGCCAGCCGAGAAACATAGTCCCTTCAGCATGTCCTGGGTCTTCCTCTGGGCCTCCTCCCAGTGGGACATGCCTGGAACACCACACCAGGGAGGTGTCCAGGAGGCATCCTAACCAGATGAACCACCTCAACTGGCTCCTCTCGACGTGGAGGAGCAGCGGCTCTACTCTGAGTCCCTCCCGGATGACTGAGCTTCTCACCCTCTCTCTAAGGGAGAGCTCAGACACCCTGCAGAGGAAAGTCATTTTGGCYGCTTGTATCCGCAGTCTTGTTCTTTCGGTCACTACCCAAAGCTTGTGACCATAGATGATTAGAAACGTATTAATGTTAAATYACWTCAATCTTGTTTACTGGGTCTCTCACACAGTAACTGCTGGAGGCACAAACATCAAGACCCAGTAAAGAGAAACAGGTTAAGAAAATGACTGGGGTCAATCCAACAGACTCACTGACCTTGATGCCCACACTTGGTTTAGGTGATAATGATGACAGAAGAGAAAGTAAGGAGTGTGGAAACAGGGTTTATCACAACTGATTTTGTAATTAAATAATAGATATGGGAAGAATGGATTCACACTATTTGCAAACATCTCATCTCCAACAAACAATAATATAAAGTTTTTGTCTTTTCATGCAGCCCTAGTAAACACACAATGTATTTGAAAGAAAAAAAGCAAAAGCTACAAACAGCTAAAAAAGTGTGACTCAGTTTGTATAGTGGACATTGTAGAAGAGAAGGGTGACGAAATCCCATGAAGTGCAAACAAAACTCTGTTTGGCCGACCCTCAGGTGCAAATCTGTCCACAGACTCTGACTCATCTCTGCATCATCGAGCTCAAGGTATTTTCACAGACTAAGAGCAGCATTTTAGACACAACAGCATCAGTGAATTTAAAAATAGGATCGTGTCTGATTGCTCATCTGCACAAGTGTCAAAGCGACGCAGACGCCTGACCTTGGCTTGAATGTCTACGCTTTAATACAATAGATACGGTCGTCTCGGCATTAGAGCTTGACGGACTGAGTGATCTCAAATTTGCTAAAGTGCAGCTGTGGAGAGAGTCAATGAGCTCCTTTTGCACAGTCAGAGGGGCAATAAAGCAAAGGAGGAAAGAGAAGGAGCAAGCTCTCTGCCCAATCCACTTTAGAGTTTCATTACTGAGATTGCAGTGATCTGTCAGGAGGCAGAGTAAATGATAACACTCACACATCAAACTGAAAGATGCAAAGAAGGGCGGAGAAATGAAAAGTTTTTGATAATAGCAAATGTGACATGAGGCAGCACTGAATCCCACAAGAAGCATATCTAGAGTTTTATGTGCAACGTATGAACTAACTTTACACTTTTCCACCCCAACAATCAGGGAATTGATTTATTTAATTGTTTAACCATTAAGAGGGGCAATTTATCCTCTTAACTAAACACTAAAGATTTTGCATCAATCATAATTTGACGCAGTGAAATAATATTTTATAAAATGCAAACATTAATTTCACAGTGCCAATACTGTGTCTTTAATAAAACCATAAAATGTAGATTAAGTGCTCATTATTACCAACACAGGCAGAGGTCAGGTAAAYATTTTACTGCTTTAAAATCAATCGGTGTTTTGTTTGGTAAATTATTATCATATAAAGTAAATATTGGGTGTTTCCTTTATAAATCAGGCTTCACGTACAGCATTTCCTCACAGAAAAACAAACTAGAGAGCTTGCATTTCCTGCAACAAAGCAGTGTGAATGCTTAATGCTGAAAGATTTGAAAGAAAAAAAAGAATTTAGATGAAAAAAGTTACAATTTGCTAAAAAGTAGTTAAAAACACAAAGAATAGGCAAATAAAGTGCGACAACGCTCAAAATATTACTTAAAAAATTAGAAAAAGCTAAAATCAGGACAACAGAAGCTGAAGGCTGAAATTAGCACAAAGTTAAAAAGCAGAACCAAAACAAAACAAAAAGGTACAAAGTATAGTAAAGATCTCTGAGCATTTTGACACATTTTACAGATGTTGAAGACAGATCCATTAATTTTCTATGAGAAAAGAAAATGGCAGGATAAGCTAAAAACTTTAAAATGTCTAAATCGCTGAAGTACCAAAAGTCATAACAGGACTGTCCTGAAGGGGCTGAACCTTTTGAAATATAAATTGTTAAAACAACACAAAAACTTACAAAAGAAAAAGTGATCTCAATAGTGAAATAGTGCTTTATATTACAGAATATAATAAAAAATACTGACATCTAATATTGAACGCTCTATTCAAGCTTCAAATGTTTGTGATTCAATCACTTATCAGGAAATAGACCCAACATTCTTTTAATGTTATCTTGTTTTCTTAATAATGCAGCATCACTTATCAAATAGGGGAGAGGGTTTTGTTTATGTGCCGCTGTGACGTTTATTGTGCAATCGATCCTCTCTCTGTGTCACAACAACAGCTCGGACTTTCACTGATGGTCTGTAAAATAAACCTGAGCAGCAGCTGTAGGTACGAGGCTCAGTTTCAAGTCTGACACTGATCCAGTCAGCGGCCACATAATAACAGGACTCAGATGTGTGTGTAAGTCAGAGGGCCTCAGCTGGAGGATGTAATCAGCAAACAAAGAGTGAGCTAGAGGAGGGGGGCAGTGAATGATGAGAGACGAGTCCGCTCACAGATCCTCTTACCATGATGAGGCCGGTGGAGATCGGGTCGTTGCAGCCGTGGCACAGCTCCCCAAACTTGGCCCAGTAATCGTTCTTGCAGTAAAGCTGCCCATCTTTCTCATAATACCAGTGGGACAGAGAGGCGCTGCACTCGCAACATCTAAGAGACAGAATTAAAAAAATCATCAGCAGCAGTTCTCATGAAGACAAAATCATGTCAATGCATAAACCACCCAGAAATACCAGCAGAAATAAGGAACACTCAGATACTACCACATCTAATTTAAGCTCAACCTGTCAAACTGACACTATGTGRTTGCTAAGGTTAAAATAGCCAATTTTCTTATACATTTAAGGCACCAGATTGTGAATATTTCTCTCCATCAACAGTTAAGACCTCCAGGAACTCAAACAGCAAACATCACATTAAGTTATTACTGTGTTGACAGAAGATAATATTGTACTGCGCTGCTGTAGACTGCACTTCAACCCTTCTAATGACACCCTGCGGAGCCACAAATTACAGTTTTCTTGTTGTTTCTCCAGTTTTCATTCGCCTCGTGGATCCAACAGATAGGAGTGATCACACCAAACGCACACGGCTACAAATGCACATCATGGAAAAACACAGAAGCAACAAGTAAGTAAAATCTGTAGTTAAACATGGCGCGACGGCGTCACCGTGGAGCAGCGCACACACGGTTCACTATCTGAAACTAATTTAGGTCATTGCTTTACACTTACAGCTACATGGCATTGGCTGTCATTTGATTTATTTTTGACAAGTGATCTTAAAATTAATCTGTAGAGAAGCCTTGTCAGTGCTCAGTAGTGAAGTTTTGATTTCTTGTGGGTATTTATTTGAACACATTTACCATAAAATGAGTGCCTTACAGACATTAAAAGTTACTCAAGAGAAAAAAAATGAAGGAATCTTTTACTTCAGTTATTTTGTCCTAGTTATTATCACAGAATTGTTGTTTTTAAAATCAGCAGAAAAAACAAAATGATGCTTACTTAAAAAACATTTTAAGCAATCTGGAGCAGCTATTAGAAAGATTTCTCTAGATTCTTTAACACTATTTGATGATATTAAAAACTGGAGATGATGGGACCCTCAAAGCCTTCACATTATTTTGTTGAGGAACTTTTAATTGTTTTTAAATGTAGGCATGTTTTTGCAAACCTCTGCCATCTTTACTTCTGAGAAAATCAGCCTAAAATGCTCTTTTTATACCATCTCTTCTTTCTGATCTGTTACTAGTTACTAGATACTAGATTAGTATGAAAATGTTCCTCCAGCTGTTTTTATGTTCCAATAACAAACATTAAATATTTTTCTAAACATATGTTTTATTGTGAATTAAATGTGTTTAAGGGATTTGCACATAGCTGTATTCTGTTTTTATACACATTTTACACAACATCCCACACACCATTGTGCACCTCTTTCTGTCAAACATCCATCAACCCAATGAGAACACACACAAACAAAAACGTAACTTCTAAAAAAATCCCTTCAGAGCAGCTTCACGGTCATAATAAGCTAAAATCTGGCTAAATTTCCTCATAAAAACAAACTCCTAACTAGTTTAAAATAAATTCCAGTTTTTAGAACAAACATGATTGAAATATAGACTAAAGAGAATCTGAAGCTCTCCTGGTGCAGGCAGCAACACAAAGATCTCTCATTTTCTGGAAACTAGCTTTTTCCTGCTGAATTGTGACTTCATTGGATAAACCAACACCGCCCTCCCTGGCTGAGCAGACAAACTACTGAACTACAAGCTGTGACTAAAGAGTAAGACTCATTCAGAATCTGTATCTGGTCTGGTTCTGTCACAAACCGGTCAGGCAGCCTGATAAACATCGGCTGGAAAGAAGCTTCCCAACAACCCACRGAGTGATAAAACTGTGACGAAGACTGTACAGAAAACACACCCTACAAGTTCATAATGCCATACAGCTTGATGCTGGTTTGAATTTCAAAATAAAGCAGATGAATAAAGTAAGTTCCTGGTAACTGATTGACGATAAGAAAAGAGAAGGATAACTAGACATGGGTTTTTACGATGTAAAAACAAGTGTGCATTGCCATGTAGCATGCCTTTGCCTGCAGCAGTGGACTTGCAGAATGAACTGTGACCAAGTTCAAATGTGTTTTCTATACCATCTTGTGCTTGTGAAGTCAGCAGGTGTTTGTAATGAGCATAATTGTGTAACAAWATGATGTGTGTAGAGATTTTTCAGTTTAAGTTGCTGTAGCTGGGGTTTGAACCCTGATCACCCACATGAAAGCCCATGGCATTAACCATTAGACCATTTGAGCTGTGGCAGAGGGGATTACCAGGAGTTGGTTTGTATGTGTGCAGAAAGGGGCCACATTGCCTATGCAATCATTGACACTAAACTGCAATATATTACAACAATAGGACAACATTAAGACGGTATTAAAGTAAAACATCAAAATACAATCATATCAATATTGTAATCACTGAACTACTGAGCTTAAATATTATGAAACTATGGTGCAGTACCATATTGTGTAGCTGCAGCAGGGGGCAGTATTGGACCAATACAAGGCTGCATTGACTGCCATTATAATTTATTAAACATTAATATTTCAAAAACTGTAAGTTTTACAGGCACCAAAAGGCATAGCCATCATTTGGCAAAGGAGCTTTACAGATATAAATTACAATGGCAGCTCTAGGACAAAGTATGCAGGAGGAGAAGCATGGCAAAGATGAGATGACTTGGATGGGAAACGAATCACAATAGTGTGCATTGCATTRGCAATGCACACTGATAATCTCATTTGACATAGAATGATGTGATAAAACCTATGAGAAAATAAAAAGCTGTAAAAAAGCAGAAAGAAACCCGTCTCTCTGCTAACATAAGCACATTTGTCCATACATGAATCAAAAAGTATGTTAATCCCTGTTAATATACATGGCCACGCACTTGTGGGTGAGTGCACCGCTGACGTGTTTTAAAGCTTGTTTATAATCTGACTAAATCTGCGTCTAACATCCATGACTAAGTGAGCGTCTCCACTTCTTCCCAGAGGAGCTACCCTCCTGTCAGACAGCCGTCTGGCCTCGTACTCCACTCAGTCGGCTTAAAATCATCACAGAGTGACCACGGCCTCAAAAATTGGAGCACCACTTCATCCACCATCTCGTCCTGATTATCCCCGACCACCACCAAAGGCAGGCAGTCATGTAATTCCTTGCATCCATGGTTGTTTGCTAGCAAAATAGCTTATGAATTCTTAATATATACAAATAGAACTGTGCTATACAAATTCCTCAATGTTTTATACCAGCTTTTTTATGACCAAGTACTTCTGTCTACGATTTACCCAAAAAATGTTTTGTTTAACTATCCACCAAATGTTTGCTATATGTAGTTTCTTTCCCAACCAAACCAAAAGCAAACCATAATATTTGTTCTAAATATGGAGTGCAAACATAAACACAAGACAAACTGGCCAGAAGGTCAAACTGAATGACGGGATTTTCTAAACTGATGTTTAATTGGAAATAATATTTTGCAATGCATTGATGAATTTATGTTTTTACCCACTCCTATCTCTAAATACTAATAATCTCTACCAGATTTAATCAGAAGGTATTTTGAACACACAGCTCAAGTTAAAAATTTGACTTTCATCTATAATTATTTTTGTTTTAACCTTTCTCATGCTTACTGACATCGGACTTTCACTCCAGCTCTGTGAAAATGTTTTTTTCTCGCTGTTAATAAAGACGTTTAAGACTGTGGGTCAATTTAATAAAATGTCACTGTGGGTTTAATAAACCGTGAAGGCCAATTGTTAATATTTTATGACATTTATTAAACCAAATGACGGATCAATAACTGGTGAATTAATTGTTGATGCCGCTCTGCAGAGCAATCATTCAGCTATTAAATTTGATTCTTATGTTTTTTTTCTTTATTATTTTTCAGCTCTTCATCGCGTTTTTGTTGTTGTGCCTTTAAAGCATCAGCTAGTTAGTATGTTTACTAAAAACAGCAGTACTCTGTGACTTTGCCCGAAGGTTTTGGACGTTCAGTTAACAGCACAAACGACCTTGAATCGCAGCGCTTGCAATTTATTTATTAGACAGACAGACAGCCTCCCCAGCGTCTGCAGCTCAGCAGATTGTTGCAGAGCCGCTTTGGTATGCAGCGTGTTTGGGAGTGAATGGTGGGGTGGGGGGTGAAACTGGAAGTGGGTCAAGAAGACGTCCACAGCACCAAGACACTCAGCTGTCTGGGCTTTCTCTGCAGCTCGATAAGTGTCTTTCACTGCAAAGTGCTGCCGAGGCAAAGTCAGACGTGAGCAGGGGGTACTTTCTCACAAAGATGGGGGGGGGGACTTTAATGCTCTGAGGTTTAGCTTCTACTGAGAGATGTTTTAARAGAGACATTTTTGCCTTCAGGACAAGAATCTTCTCTCAGAGGGGCAGCAGACGAGCTGCAGAGCGTGAGGAAAACAGGAGTAAAAACAACTGCCTGCTTAGAAATAGCTGTTAGCGTGTTAATCACATGGTATTGTAGGCTCAATTTAGAGTATTTTGGGGTTACCGGGGTTATGTGTGAGCTGGTGTTAATGAGTAAGAGGATTATCTGAGTGAAACACTCAGAGAAAGCTCTGCTAAAATGCTGCAAATGAATAAATTGTCTAATGTCTTCAGAACTGTGACGACTTCCTGCATAAAACAAATGTAAATAAATTGCTTCTATATTTGTAAGATCTGCACTTAAATGCAAAAAAATGCAAACATGGGTTGCTCGAACATAAACATCCAGACATGAACTGGAGGCTGGGATCCCTGAGGGTCTGGATAACAACCAATAGGAGCTGAGATTATGGGAGGAGAGTAAGTAAATCTGTAACTCTTCCCCCCACCACCACCTTCCCAAAACCCCTGATGGAATTAGCGGAAAGTGTCTGAATGAGTAATAAATTCCTGTTCCAGGGCAAAAGTAGGCAGCCGTGTCAGAGGCTTCTCACCATCCTCCAGTCGACTCTACAACAATCTGGTTAACGCTCAGAGTGCTGCTGTCACTTTTATTTACACAGAATCTGGAATCTGTTGAGCTCTGGTTTCCAAAGTGGAGAAGTCTGTGAGTGAATGGTGATACGAA